TAATAATAATATGGGTATATAAATAAATGGATATGCGTATAATGCTGGGTATTATAGTAATGACATAATGGCAATGTCACGAAACCCAACCATTCATTTGTGTATGTATATATATATATATATACGATTAAACGGACAGAATTCGTATCACTCGAGTAGGCTTGTAAGAACTGAACCCGAGAGATGTGAAATTAAAAGCCAGAATATTTCTAATAACAGAAGCAAAAATTGTTAGCATCCTGCAGGGTGCGAGTTGCTAAAGGGGAAGAAAACAAGCAAGTTAATGAAAATAGCCTCATGGTGGCGGAAGAAGATAAGTATGAAACAAAAGTAAACTTTGATAAAAATTATACAAAAAAACAAACAAAAAACCATTCAACAACATTGTTGAGACAGAAACACGGAACGTATCATTCTTTAGTATGAGAATCCAACTGTTCAGCCTCAAGATCCATAGGTAACGAAGAAAGGTGGACAAGAACACAATTTCAATTTCTTTTGTTTTTTTCAGATCTACATAAATATGTGTTGTCGACCTATCTCAACTGACATAGCTCGAATGTCACGTGTTTTAGCTGATCGTAGTTTCGGTCTCTAGTGTCACTAATGTGTTTCACAGTCTTTTATTCTTATAGTGAATATTTGCAGACGAATGTAATGATACAAATTATATAACAGTGGAAACCGTAATAGCTGTTAATATTTCGATACAAATCAATAAAATGGTCAAAAATCAGAAACAATTAGAATATTTTACTAAATCTTTATGTAGTGAAGCAATGATCGAGAATTGTCCAGAAACCAAACAAAATTAGCCACCTAGTTAAAAAATTCTAGATAATGTTTCACCGTGATGAAGAATGGGCGGTTTCTGAGAGAGCCGAGCGTGGCCAAGTGGTTATTTTGCCTGACTGTGAATCCTATGTATCGTGCCTCGTCACCGGAAAACAAAAAAGTCATTTTGAGGTTGTAATTGCGGTACAAGAGACAAATCCTATTATTCTATCACTTTCAAAGTAGGGACAGTTAGTGCAATTAGTCCTCGTGCAGATTTTAGGGACAGTTAGTGCAATTACTCTTCGTGTAGATTTTAGGGACAGTTAGTGCAATTAGTCCTCGTGTAGATTTTAGGGACAGTTAGTGCAATTACTCTTCGTGTAGATTTTAGGGACAGTTAGTGCAATTACTCCTCGTGTAGATTTTAGGGACAGTTAGTACAATTAGTCCTCGTGTACATTTTAGGGACAGTTAGTGCAGTTACTCCTCATATAGATTTTAGGGACAGTTAGTGCAATTACTCCTCGTGTAGATTTTAGGGACTGTTAGTGCAATTACTCCTCGTGTAGATTTTAGGGACAGTTAGTGCAATCACTCCTCGTGTAGATTTTAGGGACAGTTAGTGCAATTAGTCCTCGTGTAGATTTTAGGGACAGTTAGTGCAATTAGTCCTCGTGTAGATTTTCTCGAAAATTTCAACAAACAAGTTCTGAAAACTATCAATTCGCAGTAGAGAGATTCCAGAAAGAAGCTTTACGAACATAGAGACAATTGACGAAACTGGCACGCTGAAGACAGTTATAAATTTGTATTCGTAGGCCATATGCTGCCATCGCTAATTTTGAGCTACTGACTAGATGAAAGGCAAACAGTCAGCAGCATCCACCATTCACGTTTAGAGACTGACTATCCCTCTTATAACTCACCCAACAGCTTAAAGTTCGGGAAATATTTTGTGGTATGGTACAGATTCGAACCCAGTTAGCCAGCTTCGAAATCTAGAGCTCCACCACAAGACCAACCTACGCATCAGTTATAAATGAACATTTCCTGACACCCATTCACAATTTGTAATGATATCTGGAGGATATCGTACGTATAGGGAGCTATAAAGTTTATATTTGTATATTAGAGCTATGGTTTCTTTTCACAAGCGCACATTTATGTTAAGTCTTCGCACTTAAATACGCTTCCGATATGTAAGTAGTTCTTGAATGTCGTCTTTAACAGTTCCACACACGCAATTCAATATCGTCTCTTCAGGATGTGATATTATAATATGTCATTTGGTTCCTTTGTTTTGTTTCAACTTTCGCACAAAGCCAGAAGAGGGGGCATCCCTAATTTTAAACTGACTAAACTAGAGGGAAAGCATCTAGTAAACAATTCCAACTCTTTTACTACTTTTATCTGATTGAATAGTAAAATTTGATCCTCTCTCTCTCACGGACCCTGAAATTTGAAGCGCATTTTTAGCCCAACAAGTCGCGAACTATATATCTTCAGGTTCACAGTACGAGCACCTTTAATAGGCCACGCCTGGTCCATGTCTTGTGAATTCAGATCTTGAGAAAAGTATCACTGGTAGACTTTTTTAACAAGTGCTGGTTTTTGTTGTTTTCTTTTTAACACTCACAAAGTTGACTTTCGTAGATGTAAGCCAAACTAAGTTTTATTTACATGAGTAGGTATTTTATTTTTGTCAGTATTTGGTTCCTGTTCTTCAAATGATTAAATCAGATGTACTTTACACGTTGTCATCTCATTGCAAATTCAAATAAGAAATATTTGTTTGTGTGAGTTCAACTAATAAAAAATTACATATTAGACCATTTTAATTTTTTATCAATATTTCGTGACGCTCTCGATTTTTAGCCGCGGCATATCGGCTTGTAGCATGGCTCTGAGTTTTACTTTTTGTTTTGTTTTTTCAAGTACAAACTTTTAACTTAGCTCCGTCATCTCTTGACCCGTTTGAGATCTAATTATAGTTTTCGACTCAGGAGATCAAACTCTTTCGACTGATATATTTAATCACGCCCAAGGTCTCGTAGATTAATTTACTCTAATCCTGCCTAAAAGAATTTCAATTTGAGGGTAGGCTGGTAGAGATCCTGATGAGAAATAAAATCGAATTGGGTATACGCTCGCCCCACGCTTGGTATTGCTGACGCACAAAAATGTAGCTAATAAAAAGTAATAAAAAATATCATAGATGAATGTACCTTAATCCTGCGTAAAATAATTCAATTTTTTTCTAGTGACGTGTATGCTCCAATATTTGTGAATATTAGTTTATTAATATGGACTCATAAATATAAAGCCAAGTAATTAATACGGCTTCTAGTGGCATCTTCTTTAAAAATATATATTTCATACTTACAAATTCTAAACAAAGTAAATTAAGAGAAAAAAAAACATTTTGTATTTTGTGTTAAAAATAAAATACTTTTCAAACTGAGCAACAGATAGCGCTACCAATAAATGAGTCTCTATCATTTTAAAATAACTCCAACTAAGTTCGTCATGACCTTGTGGTAAGTGCCCTCGAATCACTATCTGAGGGTCGCAGGTTCGAACATGTGTCCTAGGGGTGTTATGAATTTAACGGTCAATCCAACTATTCCTTGGTAAAAGAGTAGCCCAACAGTTTTAGGTGAGTGGTGTTGACTAACTGCTTTCCCTCTGGTTTATCACTGTTAAATTAAGGACGGCTAGCGCAGGTAGCCCACGTGTAGCTTTGGGCGAAATGCAAACCATAACTCAAGGTCGTTTTAGGGACATTAAAATCTGAAAATTTTAAAGTTTTATTACAAATTTGTGGCTTAGATACATAAGTGAAACAAAATTTTGTTTGGTTAATAAAATGATTTTGAGACTGTTCAGACAAGAAAGGTACCTGAGATTTCACTTGCTAGAATATAATTGACAGGACGTCAGCGAGTTTTGTCCAACTCCAGAACAGTTTTTGATATATATATGTACATAATAAAATAACATTTTTACACTGAAAATGTCTTTTCCACCTTAGTAATGGCACTTGTTTGTTGGATGAAGTTTACACTTTTTGCCCATCTCAGGCACAATGAGTTGATCATAGTTTGAGATGCAGTGACATAGCTAGTTGATTGTTCAGCTTAGGTTGTAGGTTATGGATTAGGAGCGCTTCCTGTTTTCTTAGTGTCCATTCATCTGTCGTTGAGTCTATTATTCTGAAATGTTCACTGTTCGGTTTTTTGTTAGTCTTTGCTTAGATGGTTGTAAATTCCAGAGTTATTGAAAGGGCTATTATGCGCATGCGTCTTGATTCTTGTAGCTAAGTTTCGAGTCCTTGACCCAATACAGACTTGCCTGCAGCAAGGACTCAATATCTATAGTAATGGCACTGATATTATCAATATCTTTTCTTTATTGACTGTTATAAATGATATCTAAAAATAATAGCCAAAAATGTGAACATTTATACTTGCACGATTGTAATGAAAAAATCGAAAATGAGAACCAATCATAACGCAGTCCTTTCAGAAATATTTCTGTAAGGGAAATTTCATAATAACCTTCTCGTCCGAGCATAACATGCTTATTTCTTTATTTAATTTTTTTTTAAGAGGCAATGATTTCCCCCCCATCAAAGTACGAGAACAGTGTTTCAACATGACTAAGGTGAAGACGATTCATGACAAAAGCATAAGAAGGTATTCGTAAAAATAAAAACCGCAATTCATAATCATAAAAAATAATAGTTTTCAAAATCTTTTATTACATATCAAAAGTTGATACAAATAAGTTCTACCTCCGAAAAACAAGAATGTATTTCGGTGACAGTTTTAAATCGTTTTATTCTTGTCATTTTTAGTTCAGTTGATAGTTTAATATCTTAAGACAAAAGTCTGACGGTGGGAGTTAAGAGAATTCAATTGTTGACATGCATAATAATAAACAGTTTGAAAAGCAAAACATCTGTTTACTATGCTAGAAATAAGATGAGTTGCAAAAAGTAACAAGTAGTAAAAACATTTTGCAAACAAGATATAGGGATGACACAGCCGTACATAAATTATGTTACATGACTTTCAATATTAAAATTTAATGTTACATTGTTAAATGCACGATTAAGAAATGGCTAGAGGTCAGTCAGTTCGATCGACCTCGTAGCGAGAGTCTGTAATAATCTATAATAATCAATACGTGTTTTGACTCAACTTGGTTTTCCTTGTACGTAAGTCCTATGTTCTTAGTTACGCTACATTGACGTCTACCCTGACATGACCATGATATTATGATAAACAAACTGCATACAACAATCAGGAATATATAACTTCCAACTGTAGTAATATTAAAGTTAAGTATGTATTTTACAGTGTAACATTAAATTTTAAGATTGAAAGTCAGGTAGGGGTGATTTATGTATAGCTGTATCATCCTTATATTCTTCTTTGCAGTCGTTTTGGTACTGCCATCCCTACATCATTTTATATTTCCAAAATATTATTCATAACTTGTTTTGTGACGTTTTTTGCCCCTGACTGAAAGTTAGTGTATTCTATGAATGTGTGTATTAAATTTAATAATATATGTATTGATTTTTTTTACTCCTTTACTCCATACATAATATTGGAATTGGCTTCCTAAAGACACCGATTGTATAGTGTACAAAGCATTGAGTATTCTACATGTTACAGTCATCTAATGTTCATCCATTGTTAGTTGGTAATTCCTGTTTCATCCTGTACTTAAGCTTTTTAAAGGAACACTATTTATCTGTAAGAAAGCTTAACTTTAAGGGGTAATGATAACATCGTTTACATTTAAATAATTGTAATATTTTTAAATTACTACTAGTTATTACGACTAAGCGATGAAATCATGCACTGCCCAGAAACACATAAAGTGGATTTAGGTTTAACTTGACGTTAGTGATAAAGTACTTGTAGAGTTATCTTGACCGAAACAAGAAGAAGAAAGATGAACAATTTGGTGGGTTGGTCACTTTCTGGTTTGGTATTTTAGAAATGGTTTCTTGTCTTATTTTTGGGCTTGTTGGGTAGAGAAACATATGAAAGTTAGTGACAGTTTTAAAGAAAAACTCTTTGTCATTGTTGGTTTTTAGCGTGGCTATTTGTATTATGCCTGTTGAGTACCTTGGCCATTCCTACATATAGAATCTACCGACTCTATGATACTTCACTAATACGTTATCAGTTTCTAAAAACTCTTTGGCATTGTTGGTTTTAGCGTGCCTATTTGTATTATACCTGTTGAGTACCTTGGCCATCCCTACATATAGAATCTACCGACTCTATGATACTTCACTGATACGTTATCAGTTTCTAAAAACTCTTTGCCATTGTTGGTTTTTAGCGTGCCTATTTGTATTATACCTGTTGAGTACCTTGGCCATTCCTACATATAGAATCTACCGATTCTATGATACTTCACTGATACGTTATCAGTTTCTAAAAACTCTTTTTTATTTTCAACACGTAAACATGCTATATCGAATGGAAAAAGTAATTACAGAATTAGTGGAAAAAATGCTTCTCAATACTCGATGGAAACAAGGTTTACTTTAAAGAGCAAAACAGGGTACTTACATACCGTATGGAAAAATAACAATAACATTTTGTTGTCAAATAATTGCAGTGATTTGACGAAATGATGTTTCCTCTCATACTTGTATTCAGCTCAACAGTAGTTACGTCGGAGGTGAAATATTGAGCATTATAACCTTCACGCTAATTAACATTACATTCCACTAATCATTTTACAGCAAATAGATCAATTAACAAATCGGAAGTTGGTGTTAGAAGCAAATAAATCTACAAAGCAGAAACCGCTTATTTTACAACACAATTACTGTTTGTTTGTTGTAAAGCACAAAGCTAAACAATGGGTTGTCAGTGCTGCATTCACACGAGTAATGATTGTTTGTTTGAACTTAAGCAAAAAGATACACAATGGGCTATCTGTGCTCTGCCCACCACGGGTATCGAAACCCGGTTTCTAGCGTTGTAAGTTCGCAGACATACCGTTGTGCCACTGAAAGGGGGGGGGGTGACACGAGTAATGAATCCCGGTTTTTAGCAGTATAAGTCTTCAGAACTTACTGCTGTGCCACTAGGGGCGAACTACAATTAGTAACTTAGACTTGGATAGGAAGCGTAGCAAGTCTCTTAGTTCTATTGAAAATATTTTTCCAAGCATAAACAGTAAAATTCAGTGATTAAATCCTTATATCAAAGAAAATTAAACTTTAGCTTTAAAGTAATGTTTGGAATAATAATAACAAACGAATATGCCTTACTTCGTGCGATTTTTGTAAATAAGCATGGTAGGATTATCTTTAGATAGTTTGAATTTTTGTTTTTTACATTTAAACCTTCATCTTTCCATTCCTTATGATATTTACATTTTCCACCACAACCTTTGGAGCTTTTGCCTTTATTTTCCTCCTCACATTCAGGTCTCTTGTTTCTTGTGGAGTATCTCCCAGAAAGGAAAAAAACACTAAGCATTTGGTTGATAACTTAATAAAGTTTCCTAGTATGCAAATGTTTTTCGGTATAATTATTGGCAAATTTCTATTAAAAATAGAAAATTTGGCATAATTTCCGTGCTTTCTGAAAAACTAATTTTTAGTATTATATATTTATTTTATCTTGATTTTCTTTTTAACACAATTATGACACGCTCATTTATATTTGTGTGAAATGTATTTTATTCGTTTTTGATTTAACGTCATTTGTTTTATAGCAAACAAACACGTATTTCAATACAAGTGGGAGTTATCAAAAAAACAAGTCTTCTTCACAAGTCTGTGACGTTTGGAAAAGAAGTCCAATGATCAGCATGTAATTTCATTAACATTTTAAACCAATAGGCAATTCTCAATTTTAATGAAAGTTTAAGTCAACTGTACCAGTAAATAGCAGTAGTCTGAGGGATAGTAAGGTTTATTGTAAATGTTACCTACTAAAGCTGGATTGTTACACAGAGGATACTGGAAACTTACACTATGATATCCTTGGTTCAGAACACCATAATACACTTTTGAACCATTTTTCTCGTGGAATCATAGTGAGAAATTACCTTCGTTCATCCTCACTGATTATCTGTATTAAACAAAATCTCAAGACTAATTCTTTCATCTGGACTGGTGATCTTTGGGTTTTATGACTATTAAATTTAATAGAAAATTGGCTGGAGAGTAGAAAGCAGAGAGTAGTAATAAATGGAATTAGATCTGACTGGATCACAGTTGCAAGCAGTGTGCCTCAGGGCTCTGTGCTGGGTCCTATGCTGTTTGTGATTTATATTAATGATATTGACTCTGGCATGACTAACAAAATTCTGAAGTTTACAGATGACATTAAGATTTTTGGAGTGGTTAACTGTATCAAAGATGCTGCAGACTTACAGGGAGATTTGAATCAATTGATACATTGGGCCAATACGTGGCAGATAATGTTTAACTATCCAAAATGTAAGGTGATGCATGTAGGTTTTTCACAATTCAAATTATTGTTACAATTTAAATGGGAATACATTAAATACTATGGTTGAAGAAAAAGATCTTGATGTTGTGGTCGAAAAATTACTTAAGTCATTTAAACAGTGTATTGTAGCTAGCAATAGGGCTAATGGGATTTTGGGTAG